CCCCGGGCCCCACCCCCACCCTCACCCCCACCCCCACCCGGGCGCGGGTAGAAGGCTCTCGTCGTCCGAGCCTTTTTCGCGCCTTCTCGGGTTCCCTTATTTGCGTTTTGCTCAGCCTTCCTGCTTTCTCGCCCTTCAGCTCTTGAGGCTTGGAGGACCCGGGCGGTAAAGCAGCCCTCCGGAAGATCAAAGCCGTTTTTCAGAAACGGAATTTTGACGACGGACTTCACACGTTGCCCCGGTCTTCTTTAGGTGACAGGTTGATTTGGCAACTGGGGGAGGACAAGTGTATGTAAAAAACACTGTCAGAAAAGGAAGGTGCAGAGAAACCCTTTTTAAAAATACCAGTCTGATGGTTTTTTCAGAATGTGTGTTAACTCAGCCCAAGGGCAGAGCTCCGCCCCTCTCCAGTGCCTGGCACATCAAAAATCTTCAGTGTTTATTGGATGAATGAAAGGAATTGTATAGAAACGGGGGCGGGGAGTGAAGTGTGGCAATTGTTTATATCATGTATTGGATAATCCACCTCATTTTCCCAGACGATGGCAGATCTCACTGTCCTCTTGTGTTTTTGTCAAACTGCTTTCGAAAGCACATTTATTGAGTGGATTATTTAGGCGGGGATGATTCTGGTCCCTGAGAACGCCTGGTGGCACAAGTCCCTGCCATTCAGGGTGCCTACATTTTATGAAGGCGTAAAACAGGAGCAAGTCCATGGAGGTCAGAAAGTGGAAAGTACTGTGTAGAACAGGAAACAAGCTAATGGGATGAAGTATGGCTGGGACAGGGATGGAGGGTGAAGGAGGCAAGAGACACATTATCCTGGTGACTAGGGAAGCCTCTCTGAGAAGGTGAACTGAAACCTGAGTTTGTGTGTGGGGGAGGGGGAGGGAGCACAATGCACCTGCCGAAGCCCTGACAGCACGCGTGCTGTTAAGGAACAGAAAGGCAATATAGTTTGCCTGGAGAATAGACGGAGGAGGAATGGTGTGAGGGGAGGTCAGCAAGTTAGGAAGAGCCGGATTATAGTTCGGGAACACAACTTGGATTTTCTTCTAATGGTAGTGGGAAGGGGAGGATTTTAAGCAAACCAGTGATCTGTATCAACCAGAATGCCACACAGGAAGCAGGTAACAGGAAGCTGTTAATTACGAGAAGAGGCTGAGGACGGCTCAGACTAGGGTGGCACCAGGAGGGATGGTGACAGGAGCCATTGGACGTGGGGTGCGTTTAGGGCACGGAAACTTGCCAAGGAGTTGAATGTATGTTGTGAGAAGAGAGCGTGATCCAGGGTGACTCCTGGGTCTTTGGTTTAAGCAGTGCTGTGTTTCGTGGGTCAGCAACTTAGATGGACAAGTCTGGGGATGGCAAGTTTTGATGAAGGGAGAATGGAGACCCATTTCCCACATGTTATGTCTGAGATGTACATGACACAGGCAGGTGGGATTGTCAGATGGGCGAGTGGATCTCCCAGCCTGGAACTTAAGGGAAAAGCGAGGATGGAGATTTGGGAGAGGCAAGAGCCCTATGGTGTTTACAGTCATATGGGAAATGGTGTTGACATTAGAGTGCAGACAGAAAGAAATGGGCCAATGGTCAAGACCGGGGGCACATGGAGATTCAGAGGCCAAGCAGAACACCAAGTGAAGGGACATCTGGGTGGCTCAGTCGGTTGAGCGTCTGACTCCTGACTCTTGATTTCGGCTCAGGTCATGATCTCATGGTTTGTGAGTTGGAGCCCCGTGTCAGGCTCTGCGCTGACAGTGCAAAGCCTGCTTGGGATTCTCTCTGTGTGTCTCTCTCTCGAAAATAAACAAAGT